TCTCTTCATCACGTTAAAATGGAAAATTTGTGAATGATTTGGAAAATTGTACATAACCAATACATTTCTTACTATATTATACAAAATGCAGCAAAAATTTTTTGTTTAAATATCAAATATTACCAATCTATCGCAGAAGTGATCACACATCCAGCATCCTTTTTCCTGCCAACCCAGTAATTATTAATGTGCCATAAACAGGATCGAAGATTTTTTATTTTGAAGGAATGGGGTTGTGTCACAACATTTAGTAACAAACGAGTGGTGGATACATCTCAACTGGTGTTTATTGGTGTCAAACCACATCTAGTGTTGCAAGTTTTGAAGGAAATATATGACAATGTCACTGGTAATCATGTAATTGTGTCCATTGCTAATGGCATAACAACAACAACATTTGAACAGGTATTAATTAGATGTCTTGTAAACTCAAACAGTCTGTGCCAGCTACATACATATATAGTGCCAAAAACACCAGAGAACTGTAGATTGGTAGGGATTCAACTACCTGAAAATTATGAAAACATCAATGATTCGAGCGATTTAAAGGCCCTTCGTTGGGATGTTAGTATGTATAGCATGGAATGGATTGGGAAATTATTTACATGTGCATGCTTTTATACTAGTCACTAGTGAATATAAAAGCATCACATGACAAGAAATAAACCAAACAGATTCATGATGTGCACCTCATGAACGTTTATAATGTTCAAACATTTTTCTTATGTTTAGCTATATCTGTCCTTGCCTAACTTTATTCTCACCTTATTCCTTACTTGTTTCATTGTATTCCTTATATTTTTATTTGTATTATATCGTATATTTTCCTTCCTTTTTTCCTTAGTGGTATAGTTTCTGTGATGTGATTTACATGTTTTGTTTGCACTTTGTTTTCATGACTTAGTCCATCTGACTGACCAGTTTATTTTTTGTCACATAATGCTTAATTCACCAGTATAATAGCATGTGTATTTTCCCGATCCATGCTACTAACTTCCTGAAACAAAGGACCTTACTCGAAACACAGAAATTTCACAGAAATGACACATCAATGCCAAAAATTTAAATTAACGCAATAACCACTACAATGCTATTTCTAGTTGCTGCACAACCTTACCCTCATCAAATCATAAAATATTTTGCTCATGGTTGCTCCCGGGCATTGTGGGAAAGGCATTTAGAATGACAATTGTTATGCAGCAGTCAGAACAAATATTGTCCTTTTTTAGTGTGAAGTTTCACTTCACACTATTGTGATGGCTGGCGAATTCACACGAATCAGTCAGTCAAACAGTCAGTAGAGTAAACTTTCCGGGGGGTGTATACGATTTATGTTCGTAGTGATTTATTGTACTTAGTCAGTACTTTGAAGGTTATTTAGGCAATTTCAGTTAACTTATTTACATATTCTGTTATCCTTTTGCCAAGTTCACAAAAATTTCGAGGAGTCGCTTTCGTTATTGTAATTTTTTGTAAATTTTAGAACATTCGCTTCTCATGTTGTGTAAAGGATCTTTACCCCGGAACACCCGATTTTTTCTTTAGTAGCGCAAATGCGCATGCGCTATCAAGCCGTAGATCACGATGGCGTGACGATATGCTAGGAAGGAGTGACAGTGCTGTTTTCAGATGTATAAACATTTCAGACGTGAATATTGAGTAAATCTTTGAAAATCTACGCAAAATACAAATTGATCTTATGCATTACGGGCGTTCAATTAAGTGCCGATAATATTTAGACGGTATATTCATTATACAGAGCTAGGAAGGAGCTAGACCGCCTAGACAGTGCAGTCAAGTGTATAAACATTTCAGACGTAAATATTGAGTCGAAAATCTTTGACATTCTAGGCATTTAATTGAGTGCCGATATTATTTTCACGGCATTCTCATTACACAGAGGTACAGTACGTGGGCAGAAGCGAGACAGTGTTGTTTTCAAGCATATAAACATTTCAGACATGAATATTGAGAAAATCTTTGAGATTCTAGGCAATAATACAATATGTAAATTTATGTTATGCATTACTGGCATTCAGGTAAGTGCCCATCGATATTATTTAGACCGTGTATTCATTATACATTGTCATTGACTGTATAAGGTGCTACATCACAGAATAGATGGCTACACTCAGTACAAAGAGCGAAAAATTGCATCAGATCTGTATCAGATCAATAAAGCATAAACAACTTTGCGACTTGCGAGACTATTAAAGAAATCAGTTGAGTCAGAGCTCCTTAAATAAGAAAGACGAGAAGATAGCGAATGTGTTATCGCCAACGTGTTCTCGCCAATCGCTTGGCTCGCCAACAAGCTTTATGCAATAGAAGAAAAAAGCAAGGAGGTACATATGTAGCCAACGTGTACCGTCACGGACCTTGTCTTTGACCTTTGTTTACTGTCTAGCACAACGCCGTTGTCAACGGTGCAAATTCGTGTTCAGTGCAACGATAACTCTACCAGATCTTACGAGAATCAATCTGTAGTATTCTGTACACAGAACTGTATCAAAGCTTGTCAAAACTGCTTTAAACACTGCTTAACTGTGAAACTATTGAAATTTAAAGTGACATTATTCAACACATGCGAAAAGCTGAAAATAGACGTTACACCGGGAAAAGTCAAAGGTCAATGAGACTTGTTATTGTAAAACATGTCACAATTAGATTAAAATGCGGAAGCTGATGAAGCGGATACACGGAACGGATATGCGGATAAAATACGGAACGGATGAGGATAAAACGCGTCCTTTTAATGATGTAACGACGTAGTGCTTATTATTCATAACATATCTTATACAGCTATTTCAATTATAGTTTTAGATAAATTTAGCATAGCAGTAGCCTCGTGGGGATGCTTTTAGTGACAGCTGCAAATGCAAATGAAAATTTAGAATATGCAAAATTTGGTTGTTGGTAAAACAATTTAAATTTCGAATTGTCGCGTGTAGCATCACAATAAATAGATAAATTGCATCAGTTTCACAAGGCAAGTTTCTGATGTGTTAGGCTTGTTTCAAACGTCACGCTACTTGTGTGCCGAGCGTATTAAAAGCAATAAATAATGAGATGAAATGCCTTTGGTAACTGTTTATTTCGTAGCGTAAGTCATCAGCTTTTCTAGGTTGTTCGCGACCCTGCATAGTTCTTGCAGTGTCTTTTTCAATTTGAAACTTCACACTATCCTTGGATCCCTAGTTTTAATTTACTGCAATTTGTTTTGTTTTTGTCTAGCGGTTATCGTTTTATCGGCAAATATATTAATTTTAATAATTCTATCTATAATAGGTCGCCCTTTTAGCACGAGGGACTCAGCTGTGGAGAAAGGATGCAATTGCAATCAGGTGGTCAAGCCTTGGAAATGTTGGATTGACAAAGGCAGATTTATTCAGCAAACTAGCAAGTCACAGAGACAAGTGCAAGACGTCTGACACCAGACCATTCCTGCAAGAAGATGGCAGTACGAAGGCTGTCCGTTGCACTGTTGTTCTCATTGAAACCTTTTCAAGAAATATGAGAAGGTCACTAAAAGAAGGTATTGTATATTACTTATTGTATATTACAGAAATGCTGTTTGTAAGGTACCCGAGTTAGCTCGCTTTGCCAAGATCTAATGTTGCTATGTAATCCCCGAATCAATTAGTCTTTTTCACGCCGCCATTTTTGATGTACTGTAATTTTTCATAAACGATTATAACAATGTGAAAAGCAAAATTTTATAACAAACTATTTACAGAGTAAATTCACCATCATACACCCACAAAATTATAAAATGTCGCCGTTACGTGGTGTTACGCTCGCAGGATTGGCAAAAAAGTACCCCAAAAATGGTAGCGTGAGAAAGGCTAATTCCGCTCGAATATTTACACCCGGGGAAAAGGCGTGCTAGATGATTGCAAAGTTAATGATGGCGAGCGCGTCGCTTTGTTTCATGTGTGTCACAGTATAACATAGAAGGTTAAATCCGATATCGAAAAATGAAACCAAAAATGGCGGCTTATGAATGCCAATTAGCACGTACATTGTATGAGGCTTTTACATTTCTTCAGGATATGAGGTATTTACATTTCTCCATTCATAAAAATTTTCACTTCTCTTCAGTGATTCCAGATATTATGACGGAATTTGATTCGGCGGATAAAGACGACGACGAGAATGATGATCAAGCGAGTCCAACTAACCCAGACGGGCTGATCAACACGGGAAACGACGGCAACATGACGGAATTAGATTCAACGGTTAAAGGCGACGACGGGTATCAAGCGAGTCCAACTAACCCAGACGGGCTGATCAACACGGGAAACGACGGCAACATGACGGAATTAGATTCAACGGTTAAAGGCGACGACGGGTATCAAGCGAGTCCAACTAACCCAGACGGGCTGATCAACACGGAAAACGACGGCAACATGATGGAATTAGATTCAACGGTTAAAGGCGACGACGGGTATCAAGCGAGTGCAACTAACGTGGACGGGCTGATCAACACGGAAAACGACGCCAAAATGACGGAATTGGATTCAACGGTTAAAGGCGACGACGGGTATCAAGCGAGTCCAACTAACCCAGACGGGCTGATCAACACGGGAAACGACGGCAACATGACGGAATTAGATTCAACGGTTAAAGGCGACGACGGGTATCAAGCGAGTCCAACTAACCCAGACGGGCTGATCAACACGGGAAACGACGGCAACATGACGGAATTAGATTCAACGGTTAAAGGCGACGACGGGTATCAAGCGAGTCCAACTAACCCAGACGGGCTGATCAACACGGGAAACGACGGCAACATGACGGAATTAGATTCAACGGTTAAAGGCGACGACGGGTATCAAGCGAGTCCAACTAACCCAGACGGGCTGATCAACACGGAAAACGACGCCAAAATAACGGAATTGGCTTCAACGGTTAAAGGCGACGACGGGTATCAAGCGAGTGCAACTAACCCAGGCGGCCTGGAAAACGATGGCAACATGACGGAATTCGATTCAACTGATAAAGGTGGCAACGCTGTCGCAACTTCCAACCAGAAGCGAAATGAGGACAGAAAAGATAAAGCAAAACAAGACCAAGAGAAAAGTCAAAGAAAAAGAAGAAAAGAGTGTGATAAATTGGCTGATTCGCTATCAAGAAATGAGAAAATCACAAAAGGACAGAAAAGGATCACAAAACAGTAACAATCAGCTTTATATATTCCGTGTATGTACGTACTGTAGTCACTGATATTGCTGCTTTATCGTTATACAAGTTAACGAGGCGTTTATTTTCTGAACTTTAGACAACGCGCATTTTGACAACGTTCATTACTCCGACATATACATGCAGATAGGTTTAAAATTGCGCTATAAACGAATGCATGTGTATTAGGCTTAAAGGGAAAATCAAGTCGTGCTGAGAAATTTCCTTATATATATGGCGGATCTCACTCTATAACGGTGCTTATTAACCACATGCATGCAGTTGCAAAAAGTTGCCATTACTCAGGACTGTTGCAAAAGTGAGCCACTATAAAGTTCCATGATCACAGATAACTGACACAAACAGAAGTACAAATCAGACAATAAATCTATATTTAACGTAAAGGTCCAGACACCAGACGCGATTCGACAACGCGACGCGATTTTTTAGTATTTAAAAGTTAAGGTTACAGGACACCCCTTTTGGCGTTTTGCGGAAAATCGCTACTGCGCGCTCAATATCAGTCCGCTTTGAATAAAATTTTCACCAAATGTTCACCAGTGTATGCAAAATATGGTAAAGTTGTAAAATTAACAAACAGTAAAATAATATAAGAATTATTCAGGAAAATCTTAAATCGCGGTACCGTTACGCTTTTGAGTTGTGCTCCTGCTGGTTTTAAGTTATATTTATGAAAATATCACTTTTATACAGTAAAACAGTTGTTCTAAAAAATAGTGTTCGGAATTTTTTGTTTATTTCGTCATTCCGCTGATATGGCGATTTCTTTGACCACTGCAAAATATTTCTGAATTGTTGGAGTGAATTGCTCTTTATTATTAAAATATCCAAAATTAAAAAAAAGCCGAACACGATTTTGAAACTGACGTCTTTAGCTATGTCCTGTGAAAATTTGAGAAAAAATGGTCAAAACCCGCAGGAGCACAACTCATTTGAAAATCAGTAATTACCGTAAAATTCTTCGGGAGAAAATTGAATTTGAATATTACATTTTCAATGTTTTTCTTATTGCAGCGAAATGTATTTTATTAAATAACTGCGAGTTTTCAACATTTTTCGTTCAAACTTGGTCAGATAGTAGAAATAGTCTAATGACTAATGCTTTCATGGGAACCAATAAAAAAATTTTAGGCAAAATTAACCCTCAAAGGTTTAAACTAGGATCAAAGTTATGGGTCAGTGAAAATCGAAAAATCGCGTCCCATCGTCGAATCGCGTCCGGTGTGTCTGGACCTTAAGACAGCATAAAGAACGAAAGCATATAACTCGAAAGTTTAATACCCACAGGCGCTGTTTTTTTGCAACCATGGTTCTAACTTGTAAATCTTGCAAAAAGCTTTTACGTCAGCACGAATCGATTTTACTTTTACGGCTTTTACTACACTTTATAATGTTATTGTCCTTAATAATTATAAATATATGAGTATAACTATGAATAATCCATTTAAGCCATGAGCATGTATAATCAGTCCCATGGTCATAAACATCATAAAAAGCTTAGCATGCGTGCATGCATTAGTTCAATAAATTGTTGTTGTTTTTTAGTTCATAGAGTTGTGTTATTTTTCTTGTTTTGGCATGAGGGGGCTGGACTCTCATACAGTCGTACTACGTTTTTTAGACTAGTTTTGTCCCTGCGACCAAGCCTATATTATCTTGAAAGGAAGGGAAAACAAAATTTCAACAAAAGTTAACGTGCGTAATGTTCCTTGAATTGTTCTATAACATAGATATCATATGGTCTTCCTCACGGCATATGCTTTTTTAACTGCACTTTGCAAGTCTTCAATTGAGCGACTGTTAACAGGCAGTGGTATCTCGTGCACCCCTATCAAGTTTAATATATCATCATAGTACTTCTTGACATCAAGAATTTGTGCGACGTTGTGGGTTGTTTCCAAAAACAAGATTATAGCACATACAACCACGTACTCAAGAATGTTAACCTTTCCAGGATTGACACTTTGTTTTTTTGACTCTAAGAACAGCTTAGAACTTGGTTGTTTTCTTATTGTTTGTATATGATGGAGTGTTCGCTTTCGTCCTTGTCGTCTGCTTAAATCCATTTTAGGAGACCCACCACACTCTTTGCCCCCGCATTTACCATGGCAGTTGCATGATTCTGAACACGAAACGTCACGTTTTACACATGTACACCTTTTCGTATTTAGGTATTTCCTGCTGGACGGAAGACTTGTTTTCTTTCTCGAATTAATGCCACAACGGCAACCAACTACTCTCCGAACTGGAGTGGGTGCTAAAAATTAAGTACAAGCGCGGTGTTAAACTATAATAGACCTTTTCGATAATTATGTCACGAGCTCTTGCTTGGTCTGGGAGCCTCGCTCTCATGACCAAAGAGAAAGGCTATTGACTCGCGAGTCACGAGAACGCGGCTCCAAGGGACCAAGGCCAAGGAGAGACTTGTAAGTAAACCTTCACTTAAAAATCTAATCAAAGTATGGGTATGGCATGTGTTATGTAAATTTTATCCGTCTTGAATATATAAGTATATACCGAATTCA